ATGAAGAAGCAAGCTCCTCCAACATCTAACACAATCAGAGTCAACAGCGAGGCCGTCCCGACCCTCAGAGGTCAGTGCGGTCAGTCAGGAGCTGCCCCTCTGTCCGGAGGCCTTGCCCGACCGGGCCCCTCCCCCAGGCTGCCAGGACGCGGTACTCACGCAGGGCGTGCCACTCATCCTGGCGGATGGTCTTTGTGATGTTGAAGGTGAGGTTCCTGGGGATGGTGGCTGAGGAGTAGTGGTACTTGATGTAGGTGCACCGCTCCAGCTCCCCTGCGGAGAGACAGAAAACCCACCGTGAGCCCTGATCACGGGTCCCTCAAAGGTGTCTCAGTGCCCGCGCAACACCACCACCACCATCACCTGTGACCGTGACCTGGTGTGGAGAGGGGCTTTCCTGGGAAGGTGTGGGGGCGAGGCATCAGGTGAGTCTAGGGGTCGCCTCACTAAGTTAGCCAATGGCATAGGACTAAAAACACAGGCGAGACTGGGGAACGCCTGAACTGTTGACTTGCACAGACTCAACTCTGTAAGAGGCTGGACGCTGTCTACACGAGCGATGGGGGCGGGGGACAGGGCAAGCCTTTCAAGAGTGGGCATTCACAACCGCAGAGCCACGCCCACCAGATTAATTCCTATCCCAGCACAGCAAGGGGGGCATGGAAAGAGTGAGTATGTGGTCATTCCGGGTCACCTCACTGGGAATCCTCAAAGCAAGCTATCTGAACCAAGGTCCAGCGTCCGCTAGCTCTATACCCTTGTGATGGCGGTCACCTGCTTCTTCTCACACGGGGAGTTTCCGCCGTGAGTCCAAGGGCCACAGGTGAGTTTGAGGTAGAGCCAGTGTGGCCCAGGGAGGACACTGTCCGCCTGGGAAGAGCAGAGTCTACAGTCCCAGTGGTCGGTAGAACATGGCCTGGGTCACCGAGGGCTGCATAGAACCTAGGTCCAAAGTCTCCAGCAAGGCCCAAAGAGGAGCCCCAGGGAGCAGGTCTGCTGACCGCAGAGCTGATGCCTTCTCTCCACCTTAGGGACCCACGCTGTTGTCCAGAGCCCCATGCACACTTTCAGAAGCATCACCAATGATGGGAAGGACCGAGCAGCACAATCCACCGCAAAAGAACTCAGTGGGGGAAAGAAGAATGCTAAAGTCATGAAATGCGTATAAAGAAGCCTCTTGATATTCTGATTCTTCCTTACAAAGTTCTACCTTTTTCTTTCCTTTTTGAAATATCAAATATTAGGCTCCTTTTAAAAAAACGTGCCCAATTAGGAACGTAGTACCAGACATATTCTCCCACTGGAATATTAAATCTTCTTAATATTATTCCTGAGACATATTATATTACCTGGTTATGTTATATTGATGTATGGTAACAATGTTCTTAGCGTTAAGAATATTAAATATCATTAAGAATTTTTCCCCCGTGGGGAGACAGACTTGTTGAGAGCGTTACCTGTGAGCACGGGGCTCCAACCGAGCCGGGTGGGCCCTGGTACCACCCGCATGGCATCCTTATAAAAGAGGAGAAAGAAACTCGGGCAGAGAGACACGGAGCAAAGATAACCAGGTGAAATGTCCCTGCAAGCCAAGGCCAGTCTCCCTCAAGTCCACCAACCCTCCAACCCCCCGCCCCCCAAAGAAAAACACCTTCAATGCCATCGAGTCCATGCAAACCCCTGGAGATTTTCCAAGGTGACAACTGGAGTAGGGAGCCCAGCCTTTCTCTCGTGCTGGTGATTCCAAACTGCCGACCACGCACCATGTAAGCACCACACCACCAGAGCCCCGAACAGCCCTCCCGGAGCCTGGAGCAGAGTGGCCCTTTGTGGTTTCTGGGGCTGCAAGTCTTTACAGAAACAGGCAGACTCTCCCAAGGAGCGGCTGGTGGGTTCAAACCCCTGACCTTTCTGTTAGCAGCACAACGCTCAACCCACTCTGCCCCCCCCCCAAAAAAAAGCAGTCACCATCACCTGCCGAGCTGATGCCTCAGCCTGAACGGAGCTGACCTGGCAGATCCCCTCAGAAACCAAGACCGTCAGGCGCCCTGGAGTGGAAGGGACCTTAGTGGAGTGACAACAGGTGAACTACTGAGAGAACTTGTCTGCAGGCACCCTCTGCTCACAGAGGCATGTCTGAGTCCCCTGTGCGGGGAACACAGCTGGCCGAGAAGGACCCGGAACCCTGGGATCAGACATTCTGCCTGACCCTGAGGCTCCTGCGAGCCCCGTGGAAACAGCCAGGCTGTTGAAAGGGTCGGTGAAGGAGCAGCTTCACAGACACGACCTGGGTATTTCTGGCCAGCCCAACCCCTGCATCTGGGGGGTGGGGGGGCGTCCAGGGTGTCATGCCCTGGGGTCTGCCTGGAAATATGGCTTCTCAGGCCCCACCCCACCCTCCTGCTTCCAAACTTGAGGGGCGGAGCCTGGTTTTGTTTTCTGTGTGTTAGGGTTCCATTTGCTTGTACGATTTGACTTTATACGCGTTGTTGTTGTTGCCGTCAGACCCCAGACGAGAGAAGGACACACTGCCCGGTGCTGCACCAGCCTCCCAACTGTTCCCTAGACGGAGCCCTGGCTGTAGCCCCTGTGGCCGCCAAGACCGGATGTAATATGCCACACGGTCTGAAATCAAGTCAAGCCTACGGGACAGGGTCAGACAGCCCCTGGGCTTCCCGAGACGGTCACTGTTCCTAGTCATGCCTTTTTGTTACAACGTTGTAAACCGTTACTGCTATTTACAACCACAGCCCCGCCTTTCTCCCTCGGAGAGACTGGTGTTTTCCAAGCATGGAACAACCAACCTTTCAGATGGCAGCGCAGCACATCACCACCGGGCTTCTTGGACATGTGTATATTCTCGACACACATCTACACATGTGTGTGTCCATTTACATGTGTGGATGCATGAATCACAACTTTACTGCAATGTAAGTGGGGGTTACATGTACATATCAGGACATCAGCTGCTCTGCATTTGACTAGTTTCCCCTTCCCCACAGTTCAGCCTGGCATCTCCCTCTTCTGGATGCCTTGCTTCCCCATCACCCGGGCTAACACCTGTCAACAGTCAGCCGGGGGCTGTCTCTTCCTGCCCTCGCCCTCAACCCCTCCCCCCAGGCAATCTCCATTTGGTATGAAAGTCTTTGTCTAGTTATCCCTAGCCCCCGCCCCTAATAATAGTGATCTCAGGCAATATTGGTCCTTTGATGACCGGCTGCTTTCACTCAGACCGCCGCTGGCCAGTGCTTGAGAACTGTGGCCTCCTGAGAGGCCCGTGCTGCCTTGGGGAAATCTGTGCGAGGCTCTTTCTAGAGCGGAAAAGCGGAGACGGCACTTTGAGGGCTGAGGTGTGCATGACCCAAGCCTTGACCGTTTCCGTGGCTTTCCGAGACACCCGAAAGGGAGACCGAAGAAGCTGCGTGCGTTGAACGATGGCGCTGGCGATGACTGGCTGCGCCGCAGGTGGCCAGGAGAACAAACCGCCTGTCTCGGAAGAAGGTCCCAGCGGAATGCTCCTTAGAGGCCAGGCTGCGAGGCTCTGTCTCCTGTGCTTTGGAAATGCTGTTCGGAGAGACCAGTTCCCGGAGAAGGACATCCTGCTTGGTAGGCTGAGGGGCAGCGAAAAGGAGGAAGACCTTCAACAAGACAGATGGACGCCGTGGCTGCAGCATACAAACGAGGGTGTGGACGACACCGGCCCAGGCAGTGTGTGGTTCTGCTGTGCCCGGGGTCGCTGCGGGTCAGGACCCACTCCACACCCTGCTGGCACAGGCACGCACACAGCACTCCGCTTACAAAGCCCACAGATGCATGCAATCCGGAGACCTTCCTTGCCGCCCCGAGTCCCCAGCAGGCAGTCTTAGCCCAGATCCCTGTGGGAGGGCACGTGCAGAATGGGGAAGAAGCCATTTCTTGCAAGTTTTGCAACCTGGTGCTGCACCTGACTTGGTTTTAATGGCAGGCTCTCTGCACCCCACCAGCTTCCCATTTCCAGCTGAGGTGGGGGGCAAAGGGGCACAGGGGACCAGGTGTGCTGCCAGCCGGAAGCCTGCAGCTGACAGGCAGGTGACTTGGATCAGGAGCCGGCAAACTTTTGAGACGGAAGCACCCATCTTACCCCTCACAACCATGTAAGAATCCACTGAGAGCCAACCATGCATGTTTGCAAGCAAATGAAATCACCAATAGCTGAGCCATACCTTTTCCATTTTTCAGTTTTACTTCAGCACCATAGGTATGAACAGAAAGAGGTGAATGTGGTCCAGAGCCACAGTGTGCTGATCCTGGATGTAGATGATGCCCCAAGGACATGGTGCTGGCCTGTGAGTCACGCCGCCCCCCCCACCCCGGAAAACTGCCCAATGGCCTGTTACCAGTGGGCGCTTTTCTGCCAGGGTGGGCACTGTCCAGAGGCCAGGGTTAGGGAAAAACCAGGGCCAGATTCCCCTCTGCCTATGGCCCTGGAGGCCCTGACTGGCAGGCTCTATCCCTCCTGGGCAGGGTGGTCCCTCCTGGAGAACGCACACCATGAGCCCACCACCACCCTTTCCCTGGCGACAGGGCAGGTGCATGTACGCGGATCCCTCAACGCTGCCCCTGCCAGCATGTCTCGGGGGCATGGTGCCTGTGAGAGGCAGGCTGCCCTGCTTCCTTCTGTCCCCTCGTCTGTTTCTGCTTCTTTGCCCAATTTCCTTCTCTTCCTTTGCGCCTTTCTTGACTTTTATTCATTTTTTTCTCCCCTCCCCTCCTTTTTTTTTGGCTGGGGCAAACATTATTTCCCCATGAGTCTGTCGCCCCTGCCACAGCTACCCCCACCCCCAGCCCAAAAAGCACATGCCATCCACTCCTGCACCACTGGGTCCACTACAGATGGTGGGCCAGGCCTGCTCAGCCCACCCACCATTGGCCTTTACCACCAGCAAACAGAGACCCAGGCCTACACTCCCACCAGTTACTCTGCCTAGCTAGGACAGGTGGGGAGTGCCCCAGTACTGCCAAACTGCAGTCTATGGAGCACACCGGCCCTGCCCCCCAACACCCCCCCCACACACACACACAATATATCAAAAATCCCTGAGTGGTTTGATGATCAACACATAACCACACACATACCCCTCCAGGGGGACGAACAACAGGAACCGTGGGGGAAGGGAGACAGTGACCGGTGTAACTTATGAAAACAATAACTTATAATTTATCAAGGCATCATGAGGGTGGGGGAGGCGAGGGGGAAAAGAAGAGGAACTGATACCAAGGGCTCAAAAGAAAGT